TATATATACTTAATGATATAATAATATAATTATGAATGTAATATTTAATTGTATGAAATCTTCCCCTTCTTCCCTTTTCGCTCGCCTCGACGAACAATCTCTTTTCCTTGAACTCCTATCAAAAGCGAATCGCGAATCGGAACACGCACTGGGACTCATCGCGGATCCCGAGTTCCTCGAACCGTCCTCGAGGTCGCCAGCGGCCGGACTGACGTCGGACGCTATCGCGCAGGGATGCCCGCGGTGGGCCGCGATGAGCGGGGTTGAACCGCGTTGAGTGGCCACCGCCAGCAACTTTTTCGGCTTCGTTCTATGAAATTGCGCGGGAAATGCCTAATAAAAATGTGGATGGGGGGACATGAGATAAGCATCACTCACTGACCCGACAAAACTCAAGTATGACATCCGGCAACCGTTTCAAGCGCTGGAATCATTATATGTCAAGAGTTTCGAGCAAGCTCGATTTGAAAACTGCTCTCGGAGGGAAAAACGCGAAGGCAAAACGAAAGAAGGGATCGAAAGAGGGGCTGCAAGATAAACATTTGGAAAACGTTGAAGGGTGGGAATGGAGACGAAATCCGTAAAAATCCATAAAATTCCCTCCGAGGGCGTACGAACGCGTGAAGCGAGAGTAGAGGTGTCGTCGGGAGGCGGTATTGCGGGCCGGACACGGATGCGGGCGCGGGGAGATCCGCGGTGCATCGAAGAACCGAAGAACGGAGGGCTCGTGGAAAAGGAGGCACGTGCGGGGGAGGACAGACCCGATCGGATTTCGTCTTGCGTGAATTGGCTCGCAAAAATAAAATTCGCGATGTCCTTGGTAGGGCGGGGTTGCGGAGTGCGTCGCGAGCGGATTCGCGTTACGTAAGGCGTGAGACGCGTCTCGTGGCGTCCTTGGCTGGGGATGGAATTAAAATGAGGAGGAGCTTTGAAGTTTCTCCTCAGGACTGCGCGATGAAAGGGTCAAAACTTAGCGCAAGCGAAGAAAGAAACAAGAAAAATTTGCATTGTTAGTTTTTATTTCCCTCCGATTACATTACTATTGCAGCCCATCGAAACGTTTTCCCTATAGATAAAAATGTCTGAGCCACGCAAGCACACTTAAGCCTCGCGCCGTACATTACGCTTCCCTAACCGCCGACGGGGCATAAAAACTGCTCAAAACGAATAAGGACAAAAATTAGTCCGACAATACGAATTTCTGACGACTCATCCGAATCCCGATATCGTTTTCCCCCTCCCATCAAACAAAGGTGTCACAAACCGCACGTGACGGAACCTCGTCTCCCAAGCGTATTTGCACCCTCCTCGCTCGAGCGCACGGAAAATCCGACGGGGAAGAAATTCCCCACGGAAACGGGAATCGAGCTGACAGGATCCCCCCACCCGAAAACCCCGAGTCATTCTCATCGTCACCCGGCAGGAGAGACATCCGCACTCACGGCGTTCGACGCAGTGCCTCTCGCGATCCCAAGGCATCCAGTGCTCCACCCGCCTCGACATCCATCGACATCCGAGCGCCTTTCTCCGCGGCCGGACATCCACCGGATCCACCGTCCTCCACCGACATCCACGGGACGTCCCCACCGGGCAGCGGAGACATCCAACCATGAGCCGCTCAAGCGTCCCCATCCGTCGCTGAGTGGTCGTCGTTGGGGTTCTCCGCCCTCCACCGCCTCCACCCAGCCCCACCGCCTCCACCGCCTCCACCGCGGCGGGGGTGCACTGTGACGACTACCACCAGATCAGTTCTTTCCCTGGGTCCTCTGGTTGTATCCGTCACAGTAGTTCCCCCGTCTCGTTCGCCTCTTCCACGGAGTTCTGCGTTTTTCGTCATCGGTATAGTTCTCCGATCAATCGATTAAGGTTTTAATCGTAGTTATTGAATTAATCGAGGTTATGTAACCGGTGGAGAATCGGAAGGAGTCGACCATCCGGTATTCTCGCTATCTTAAAACGCCGATATGTATTTAACTGGGGAACGTGTGGGAACGGCGCTCCCACAGCTTCACGGCTGCATGCCGATTTCCGAGGCTTCCAGGATGGAAGAGAAAAAAAACCGGTTGGCTCGAATCGCCTTTCCTTTCGGAAAACGGGAAGACGAAGGCGATTCCTCGGACTTCCTGGGAATTTTCGGGCTTCCTGGGATTCTTCGGACTTCCTGGGATTCCTTCCAGGAGGCTCGGAACATTAAATCGACCGATGGTCTGGAACGTTCGGAACGTTCCCGAGCAGAAGCCTGGGCTCGATTTCATGCTCCGAGTCGACCTGGGTCGATTTTCGCGCGACCGACCCTGTTGGGGGTCGGCCGTGGTCTTCGCGTCCGAGAATTTTTCTCCCGAAATCGTCAGGCGTTTCGGTCGAAGGGGAAATTTCGAGTCGCCGGGAAGCGAAGAAACACACGTCGACGAAAGTAAACGCTGCGGGCAGAGTTCATCGTCGCTCGGCCTGGCCGTAAGCCATAGCGTTAGTCTGCCTGGCCGTAAGCCTAACGTTAGCCTGTCGGTCGCGAGCTTCGTAGGCTTACCTAGGCCGATTCTAGCCTTGCGTATCGTCCGACCGTCGTTAGGCCTACGAAAACGGCAGGCCTTTGTGCCGAAAGACCATCAGAAACGTTAAAAACTGCGGGAAAAAAAGAAAGAAATCCTATTCTGAGGCTTAAGAGAAGCCGCATCTCTGCCCTCGCAGATACGACGTTGCCTCGGCGCCTCGCAAACCGGAAATCGCGACGGCAGAGATGGCGCTAGCGTGCGGAGCCCTGTCCCTGGCCGTACCTACGCTAGCACCATCTATCGTATCATTGTTGAACTTCGATCTTCGAGAAAGGAGGCCCAGTTGGTGCCTCTGCTCGCAAATTCGATCGTTTCCGAAACGCTGCTGCCTCTCGCTTTCGTCATTCGGGGAGGCGGAGAATTTCCTTCAATTTCCGCAAATTCGCCAATATCAGTCGCAGTTGTCGAGTTCCTCAGCTTTTTCGCGAATCAAGTTTGGTTTTAAAAAGGCGTTGGAGGTAAAATCACGAGAACCGAATTCGGGGGTGAACCGTTTTCCGTTTCGAGATCAAAATTCAACTGGATTCGTCGAATGCAGAAATTGTCAACATCACGAGCCAAAACCGTTAAAATCTGCTTGCTCCCAGAAGGAAAAAGTCGGAAGCAAATTTTGACTTATCTCGATGCGAACTCATATCGGATTATCCCAGCATTCCTGGGATAATCCTACTGGGGATAATCCGATACCCGTTCCTACTGGGGAGTGCAACAATTTCTTGCAACAAAACAATCAATTTCGATCGTCTCGACGGAAACGTGGCTTTGGGGATTCCTGAATCGATTAGTGATTTCCAGTTTCATTCATTTTGGATATCCAACTACATTTTGTCGATGAAATGTTCAGATTCTAAAAGTTCAGCCAGACTGGGAAAGGAAGTAAGAAATATGCCCACGGTTGAATTGTTAAATGCGTGTACTTTCATTTTGTTTCATTCTTTCATTTTTCCTGCAATCGAAGTCATGAAAATGACGATCAAATTAAATAGTCGGCATCGATTTCTAACGAGGGCCTCGACGACGTGAGCCGAATGGATCGGAAATCCAGCGTGCGTGCTCACGTGCGTGAGGCGTGCGGCGTGGAACCGTTCCAAAGGACCAAACCGTTCCCGTTCTCGTGGCTAAAGAGCATTGTGGGGTTTTGAGTCTGTTAATAGTTTTGGAGTTGAATAACAAATAAGCAGAAGAATGTTTCTGAAAGCATGGTCACAATGGACAGAAGGGGGACCAGTGCATGGCCTCCCCACTTCCCACATTTCCATCTTTCTTTGTGTAATGTTGGCACGACACAAACAATGCAGACGAGTCATGTCGCGTAATTCACATCGCGTCGATTCCTCGTCACGTACTTGCATCCGAGAAGAAAACAGACACGGCATTCTCGAACAGTCGGTCGGCGAGCTCGTCGAGATCCAGATCCTTCACGGCCCCCAGCACCTCCACCACTTGCCTGCAAAGAGACGAGAAAGGAATTCGAGTCCTCTGCCGCACGGTAGACGGACGGGACGACCGGGACGGGTGGAACCGACACGACGTTGGCGGGCTCGTTGCGGGCCTTCACCGCCGAGCCGGACTCCCATTTCTCTTTCTTCCGCGAGGGGAAGCGGGTCTCGACGTGCTCGTACCCCACGTGACTGGGTCTGATCTCGCACCAGGGACAGTCCGTCTCCACCATCAGCCGATCGATTGGGATTTCCTTCAACACTTCCAGGTTCTCCTTCGTCTTAAGGGAACTGGCAAAGTGGCAATGCAACATATTCGATCTAAATTCCATATACCAATTTGTCCGCCCCCCCCCCCCTTTGTCCATCTGCGCTACGCATATTTGTCCCCCCCCCCCCCCCCCTTTTTTTTTTTACACAGGTACAAACTTTATCAAGATCATAGCTCATTTACCCAGAATAGGGGAAGTAATGAAAGAATAAGAAAACAAATGTTGTATAATGTACAGTGACCAGGCTCCAGTAAAGTTCCTATGGATGATCCTTAAGGAAATCTTTTAAAGGGCCTGAGGACCTTTTGCAGCTTGGAATCTAATTACAAGTGAAAATTAGATAAAAGCCAAATATGAAAAAATCTACAATAGTGAAATCCATACACGTCCAACACAGAGCCACCGACAGAGTCCACACCCCACCTCACCAGCCGTTGACGCCGACGTGCAGTCCGAGATCGATGATGGCCCTGGCATCTTTCAAGGACCCATCGAACGAATGCACCACTCCCTTCCAGGGTCCATCCTTGTGCCTCTCCAGGACGGAAACCAGGTCGTCGGCCGAGTTGCGACAGTGGAGGAACATTGGCAGCCCTGTCAGCTTCACCAGCTCGAGCTGCTTCTCGAAGTATCTATGTCGATACCAGGACTACAAGTCGATGGGAAAATGCTATACTTGAGCTTTGAATTATCATTCACTAAGATGCAGACAAACATTAGACTGATCTTAGCAGAGTAATGTTTCAATGGAAATTATCTTGAGAAGAAAAATTTAGCTGAAGACTGCTATACTAGACGAGATAAGTACTTCATATTCAACACAAATTAATTGACCAAGAAGGTTCTCTGTATGAAAGCTTATTTATCAAAATAAAACCATAATGAGCAATACAGTAATTTTATAAATATTACATGAGTTACAAAATAGTTATGATTTTTATATTGCTTTTTATATTTGAAGCTGCATGCATATCTGCTTTGCTTGATAAAAAGTGCTGGTCATTAAATTAATATCTATTACTTTCATATTGACAAATCTTAAAATTCATGCATGGGTGATGTGCAGAGACAACAGCAGAAAAAAAAGGGAAGAGGGGTCAATATACTTGAGCTGGATGTCCTTGGGGCAGAATTGGAGTCGATCATAGTCCAGCCCAAACTCCCCAATGGCAACCACTTTGCCCCTGTTCTCTGAGGCCAAGCTAGACAACTCCTCCAGATATGCGTCTGCCCCACCATCATGTGCCTCGAATTCCCCACACCGGGTTGGGTGACACCCCACAGTGCTGAACAGCCTCTCTGTTGGATGGTCATGGAACAGGTGATGCCATTGAGTTACTCATTTGTGAAAGCTCCATTCAGTTATACTTAATTCAAACAAATGGCTGGCACAAATGAATGAAACCATGGTTCATCCATGCATGCAGAATTCAGGAATCAAGGAGAGGATGATAGAACTGTAACCTGCAGATTGAGATGCCCATCCAAAATGGGACACTCACCGTGTAGCTTTGCAAGGGCGAGAGCTGCCCGACTGTCACTCAGGCTTCCCCCGGTGACCATGATCTTCTCCACTTTCTGATCCCATGCCCTCTCCAGCACTGCATCCAAGTCGGGTGGATGCTTCTCCGATCCGTTGTAGACCCCTTGGTACATCGGGTCTGTCAGGTTCCCTGCTATGTCTGCAAATGAAAGCATTGGGAGCTGCACCAATGAGTTTCTGATGATCAGATGACCACAAGGACCAACTCACCAATAAATCTCCTTCCAACCATCCTGGAGATTCTGCCAATCATAAAAAAACGAAGGGATTGTGTTCTATGCTGACCTGAAATCCAAGGAGGTTGGTCAGCATTTGAAACATATGGACTGACATGGTCTCTGATCATCTGAATGAATCCTGTTGTAATGCAAATGCCAATTAAAAAAAAAAGTTTGTATCAAGGAAATGGGTATTCTCAGCCACCATTTGAGAGAATAGCACAAATGGTTTGCAATCTGCCAAATCTAGGCAAGTCAACAGAGCAGTGAATACAACATATATGACAGTAGCTGAGAAATATATATTGTACTTAGTAAAATGTATCCATAAGGCATTTTCCTCCAAAGAAGGAAGGGAATATTGGAAGATGCTGCAGTAATGGAGACTAGGATGATGTGCTGCGGAAATTTGAAAGGATATCCCGAGCCTCTTTCATCTCCTTCAGGAGAAGATGGACTTGTTGGGCAGTCATCGTTAAGGGCGTGACCTCGTCCGGAGTACGAAACACGAACGTGGCCTTTTTTTCTGAAGACCCAACTGCTTCCTCAACTCGCCACTGTATGTCTTGGACCGGGTTAATCCGCAGACTCTCGGCGCGGAGCCTCTCCTGGATGAGGGCTGCATTCTCGAGATAGACGCTGCATAGCATCGATGTATGTTCCTTGGGAAGTCCAAGTTGCTGGAGTTCGTGGGAGAGGACTTCATCGTTGACATCATTCCTTCCTGCCGACACCAGGATGTGTCGCAGGGCATTGATGCATGCTTTGACGTCCCCATCCTTAAATTTGGCATCGGCGGACAGGCGTTGGCACTTTTCAAAGTCTAGAGTTTTCTGGACTATGTTTTCCACCACTTGCTTGGCAAGAAGTTTCAGCTTGATGGAGGTGAGACGTGAGAGGAGGACGATATCGGCCAGGATCCAGTCCGGGCAGTCCAGGTCACCAAATAGACGAAATCGCATTTTTCAATGTGCAATCACTGCCAAAGAGAGGAAGGCATTAAATCATGTGACAGACATTTGACAGCAAACAGTGAACATGTCAATTTTAAAAAGGATATACTGTGAATTAGCATTTATGTCACAATGAGAAATTGAATTTTTAAGCCAGAGGATTCTTTCACCTTCTGCAATGTCTGTGAAGGTGCTGGCCTAAATGTGAAAATTCAGAACTTGACATCATCACATGGAATGCAACAATCTTTATTCTGATGCAAGCTCACATAAAATATATGGTGCTTATTTTCCCTCCCATCTTTTGAGATCACAAAACACATCCTTTAACATATAATGGCACGGTTTGCATGTATTCACCACACAGTGGATTGATTTTCAAAAATGCAGTGAGGATTATAAGAGTCTTCATCTTTCAATAGAGTTCTGGTTGAAGAAGTATCTGAAGGCAACAGCTGAGATGATGGTGAGGATGCCCACTGTGAGCCACACGTGTCGACCAAAAAAGCCCCTGACTCCTCCTCCACCTTTCCGACGTATTACAGATGGCCCTTGACTTTCCCTATGAATAATGAAACGATACACTCCTAATACAGTCAGCATTCACAAAAACGTTGCAAGGCAGACATTGACAAAATAATTGTCACTATGACAGTCTATACATGAGAATTGGGTAATCGTATGAGGTGTGACCTACCATGCGGGGTGGTGTCTTACACTATGCTGTAACAACACTGCATGATGACCTGACAGGCATATTGGAAGGTTTATTTGGGGAGGGGGTTCCAACCCAGACTGGTGGATCCACCACCGCATGCATATTAGGGTAGATAGAGGCGTGTTGCTCTATCAGCAGCAGTAGCTGCCATGCCCATATTTTTTAGTCAATAATCAGTAGTAAGGAGAGTGTAGCTCCATGAACAGGCACTTTGTAAGATCAAGTTCAAAAAATGCATGGGACAATGCCTGAGCTTCTGCTAAGGCACCTCATCGAGGCCTGGTGATGTAGCCTCGACCCCACAAACAACAGGTTCAAGGTATTCATAAGGGATGTCAAGTCTACATTTGCCAATTAATCTAATGTGAAATCTGACAATAGTCAAATGACAATATTTGCAGGCCTAAGTACAGTAGCTTTAGATAATAAAATTGTGTTAGAAAAGGGTGTATTTCATACCATACAAACCGTGTAAGTCACACTTAATATCCAATGTGCTGTGGTAGGTCATATGATTACTGAGAATTGAGCTTCACAATGACAAAACAAATAAGATCTCAGTTGAACATTTGATACTTAAAATCAGATATGGATGGTCATGATTGCTGCAATTTGGCAGGTGCTCTGCAGTGTAATTGACTCTGAATCCCATAGATGTAGTATGGAGAATATAAATGCATGATTCTAATGAATTTAGACAACAATCCTCATTGCCAGCACTAGGCTCTTTTAACTCTTTGCTGCAGTTGCTGTATTTTTTCACCCCAAGGGATATCAAATTCATCCTTACAATGTAACAAGAAATAAGGTGATGAAGCTCTTCTCAAGAGAGTGAAAAATAAATAATGGGGGGAAAATCTGCTGCCTGTAGAAAGATTTGAATGAGATTTTCAACAGATTCTTATATATATAGGATTTTCAACATAGTCATCAAAAAGAAAATTTCAATGAAAAACCCAAACCCAGAAACTTAATGTCTTAGAGATGTAGCATTTTTGCTAAGTGACATGAAGTTTCATCATGAATTTCAGTAAAATAGTGTTGTTACATATAACCTAGGTGGGTACCGCATATGCAAAAGAATGTGGTATGGTGTTCAAATTGGAAGGGTGAGGAGTGGCATCTAATGGAAAAAGCAACAGATAAAAAAAGGTTGATGGTTGGTGAGATAGAGGATGAGCAAGCAACAAAATGCACATTATATTCCAAATTGACTCACTTGGCCAATTTCATCCCAGTACAGATAAGGTTTGAGGTGAGTGGGTAAGATGCCTGAAGCTCTTGGGCCTTTCCAATCAGTGCATCATATGTGAGGGACTTTGGAAACTGTTGGGGGAAAAAAAGTAAGAGGCCCACATTTATTTCCATGTAACTTAGGAATACCAATTTTATGATCTTAGCCTTTTGATGGCAGAAGACAAGCAGAAATGTTTGAATATGAGTTCTGGCCTGACTCTTTCTATAGCCCCAGTCCCAGTATGCTGGACTGCATTTTTTAATTATGTCTACAGTAAGAAAGTTGGAATTGCCATTGAACATCTTCAAACCACAAGGTGGCCTCACTTAAAGTGCAACATTGGCTAACAGTTCAATTTATTTGTCTATCAATTTCTGAAAGATGTCATGTGGAAATAACACAAGAAGCAGATATTCCGGTCCCCAAGAGTCAGTAGCCAATAAGCCAATGAAGAATTTTAGAAAGATATGAGTGGAGTCAAGAAATGTTCAGCAGCTTAATGACTTGAATAATGGAGGAAAAAATCAGAAGACTTTCATTTCAGAGGGATGTATCTGTTTTTAGCATTTTTGCATAGTGACATGAAGTTTAACCATAAATTTCAATAGCATGGTGTTGTTAAATATAAACCAAGATGTTTAACACATTTAAAGAAAATATTGTATCGAGTATTTTTTAATGATTTATTATTATTAAGCAATTACAATCATCCATATCAGGGCAGGTTTCTTTTGCCAAGAAGAGGCATTGGGGACAATGATGGTCTGTTGAGCAGATTACCTCATGGGGATAAGACAAATTATCAGGCTCAATTTATTTCAAACTATCTTCAGTACCTCAGGGATGAGGGTATTACTAAGTCAGTATTATAAAGCTAGAGGTCACAAGCTTTAACTTCCCCTATGCTCTGATGTACCACAATATCTATGCAAAATAATGTGTCCTGCTTTCAGCATTGTCTTTGCAATTGTCATTGAATGAATGATAAATCTTATAAATGGAGTATCTTAATTTTAGGAGTATGTTTTACAGAAACCTCCATGAAGCTGAATCAATTAAAAAATATGGGCCATCAGGTTTATTTCCTGACAGCTTCATATTAAAATGATACCACCCATAAGAATCCTTTGACAACAACTATGTAGTTTCTGGGCATCACCTCTGCTAACAATGGCTTTGACTCATCACTCCCATTGATCCTGCTTTTCAGCTTGTGAGTGCATGAGTGGGTGATTCTACAGAACTGATGAAGCCCAGTCACCCCCTTCTCTACTCCCTATTATTTTGAACATGATTAGGAGAACATCTGCAAGAATGCTTATGAGAAGGAAAGCATGAGGGGAACACTTCACATTTGCATTTTGCTGTCTCATCATCTTGTGGAATGTACATTGTCCATATATACAATTTTCTAGGAGAGAAGTGTGCCTGAATATTGGCACATCTTAGGAAGTAACATCATAATATTGTGGTACAGATATCAGGAGGTTCCCATCCTGGAGCTCATGAAAGCATTCATCACAACAATTTCTCTTTCCTATCCTCACTCCCATGGGAAAGCATGAGCTGTATAGTGCTGGAGTACATTCTGCTGACATTTAAGGAATGTTCAACCCAGGGAACCAGAGACAAGTGAATGTTGACTCTAAATTAAATTTTTCAGAAGACTGGAGAGATAAACACCACACATATAGTCTGATATCTTTTCCCAATGTGTAAAGTATGAAGGAGTACTTTAAGTTGACAAAGAAAGATTTTTCCAAGAATAGAAATGCAATACTAATTCATGTTCTTAGATCTCCCATATTCCATGTTTGCAAAAGAAATAAGCGAAAACATATTCATGACCAAAACATTAAATCCTGACTTGAGAATATCATCCTAATATGATGACAGTCTGGGTGTGTCAGTCTTCATGGCAATAATAAAAAATCAGGATTTCCAAGTTCAGTGAGAGAACTCTGTCCATTATGGAAATGAGTGTATGCATGAGTTGGAACAACATAGTGATTTCATATTTCCCAGGGAAAGATGGTTTCCAAATTTGAAATTCACATGATGACCGTGTTGGAATATCATATGGTGAGAAAGAGGTTAGAACTAGCATTTAGAGGTTCTAGTTTTTTTTTCCCCCCAAGTTTTAGGAGAATAATGTGAGTGTTCATGATGTTCTTTCAGATTCCAGGGAGTAGATACAATGTGGTACAGTTTGTGATACTGAAAATAAAAAGGGGAGAAGCTACATTTGACTCCCTTCTAGATTAGGATGACAATGAATTTGTACCAACTTAGTTCATGAGGGTAACATGAAGGCAAAGAGACTTCTCCTCAGGCATAGCATATATGCTTTGCAAACTGTTCAAATGATTTTGGTACTTAAAAAGCATTGGTTTCTTTTGTTGGAAGGGTTTTCATTCTATTTCGAATGTATGGATTTTGGGCACCTAGGCTAGAATACAGTGCATACCCACATTTTGTAGGGTGGAATGTACCATGGCAATATCCTTCTCAGTATCCAGGATCTCCTGGTGCCGGTGTAATACGACGGCCACAACTAGATAGATAGGGAAGTGCCGTGGGCATGCGATGAAGCAGTCGAAGAGCCTCGCGATCTTCTCATACTCGTCCAGGTGATGGCTGAACCATGTGATGACCCAGGGCACACTGAACATGGCACCCACACGGGACCTTTGTATAAAGGGATGAAATCTTACCTCTCATTCAAGTTCAAAGATAGATTTAAATTTGCCATGCACTAACTGGAAGATATGCTGAAAGAGGGGGTAGTTCTCATCTCGCAAGATGGGGAAGATGACATTGAGGAGGTTCATTGTCGTCTCCATGGTTGGCTCCATGTACTCCTTTAGGTGGTTCTTGGAGATGCTCTCAAGGATAGCAGTAGCCAGTTTCTTGCTTCGCACCACGAGCAATACCGTCAGGGCAATATCGTGATAGCCCTGCATACAAATCATGAATATTATATTTGTCTCATGGTATCGAAATCCGTGAGACCACTGCTGGCAGAAAATATAATAGCATTGGGAATAGGTGCATCACACATCACATTAGAACTGCAACTGATCCACATGGTTTCCATACATGTACTCATGAAGAACATCTTGTATTCCAAATTGGAATAAGCAATTTTCTTTCACATGGGTGGGAAGATGAAAGAAGGATTGATGAGCTTAAATAGTAACTGGCAGCTTATATGGCTGAGTTACTTCCTGATCAGTTGAAAAGTCAGTAGAGCACCTGGTAATAATGGAGGTGAGGATGACGGATGAGGATGCGGCATATGATGCCAAGTAGGGCCTCCTTCAGTGTCTCCTGCTGCTCTTCAGACAGGCCTGTTCATAACAGCGTTGACATTAGGACACATAACACAAACACAACCATCATCTAGGACTGGAAATCTCACCAGGTGGAAACCTTTTCAGAGTCCTTGACACGTCCATGTTGACCAAGTCATAGGAGGAACACCTTAGAACTTCAGCATCGGTGATGGATGAGAAAGACTCTAAAGGCTCTTCTGTGATTGCCGTCAACTTTGGCCAAGCCAATCTCCGCATCTCATCTATTCATTCCCATCCCAATTATGTGTTGAGAAGAAATGTGCATGCCACAAGGGTCAAAACTTAAAAAGGAGAGATTAGGAATGCTTTAACTTCTGCATTTCACAGAGTTTAGGCTCTGATCCCAGATAGAACTTACCATTGAGGAGTCCTCCATCACTAATAGCCAAGTGCCTCAGAGTAGACAAATCTGTTGGTACTGCATCGATGGCCTTATGGATCTGTGCTAACTTTTCTTTGACATCGGGCAATGGAATTCTGGAATCTGGCTTGCGAGATCGGGGGCCTGGAGGCGGGGTGGCACTGCGACTCCGACTCCCAGAATTGTCACGGTGGGGCAGCCGACCGTGGGAATTTCTTGCAGCATCTTCCAACCTTTCTCTCTCTCTTCTCTGATGCTTTCGGGATTCTTGCATCTCTTGAAAAAAGTAGCCTCACATAATGAGCCACACTTTTTCTCCTTCACAATGACTAGATCATACTACCTGATGAATGAAAGTGCAAACCAATCCATACTCCCTATTTTAAATTGAATTCAAACTAGGCCTGAATAAAGTGAGGGACTTTAGACATCTTTAAAGTAGACTTGAGCTAATGGCATCCATATCAGCAGAACATCTGATTGACGATCTCAGTAAATTAATATGGGATATGCATGAAATACAAGCATAAAATCAAGGGATATGTTTGATCATGGTGCACTAAAAAAGTTTTCAGTTAAACAACATTCATTTAAAAAAATACATCCATGAACCAGCTGGAGCCTTGCAGACAAGAATCTGCTACATCCCAAGGGATGTTCTCCATTGTGGGCAAAAGACAACAGAGTGAACTTTGATAGTAAAGAAAGAACTGAAGAGGTTAGAGGCAAATCTCATTCATACAGTGAAAAAAGCACTCAATGGTAGGTGATGCAATCAAATCACTAAGAATTCAAAACTCAATTTATCCTTATTTTTCCATTCGGAATGAATTCAAGCATAAAGACAATGGAGACTTCACCAATTCCAATATAAAAGTGCTCATTCATCTTTAATTGAAAAAAAAAAAAGAATATTGGATGAACATGAATGTCATCATCATGACTAAAATCACATCACATATTTCAAATGAGAATTTCATATAAAATACGGATAAAATGATATGGGCTATGAAATTGCATGATAATGGGAAACGATGACTAAAATCATATCACTTACTTGGAAGGGATAACATAAAGCTCTAGCTACCACTAAATATGAATTCAAATCCAAATGGAAGCAAGATAGCATGATATTACAGCATGAACCCTCTAGTAGGCTCCAATTTGACTTTTTATCTTCACCTGAGAGAGATGTCAGTGACAATCAAGGGGAAGAGAAGTTTTCATCTCTCCTAATGCATCCTACAATGCCTTTTCCTGATGATTTCTTACCATAGACAAGACACTCAGAACAAGGTGATCAAGCAAATACAACTTTCGACTTCTTTAATGCTATGACTAGAATGCATACCTAATGGCTCACATGGAAAAAAATTTGCAAATGTTTTTGTCTTTCACAAAGAGAGAGGAACAAAATGACCAGTCAGGATCACAACCTTGTAGTCCTCCATCATATAAAATGGCAATTCATCACAATCCAAAAGGGTTCTATCAAAGCATGCAAGATCATCTTTAAATATGGAACAATATTCAAATAAAAGGGTTCCTGAGGGAAATTAAGAATAAAGCACTCCATCCTAATTGCCATGTACTTTTGGGCCTCCTACACATGCTTGTTTTCTTCCTTTATTTTCAAAGGGAGGAGGATAGTCATGCACCTCTACCTCCTCCCATGCAATGCCCACATGGCTTTAAGAGGGTGCAAGTAACAACTAGCAAATCATAAGAAATGCAAAAAAATGCAAATGATAAGAAAGGATCACCTCCCATGGACTCCTGCCACTCTCACATGATAAAGGAGATATTCTAATAAATACATGATATTTGAAGGTACATAATGGATGGATATAAGCTCTGGACTGCAGCACTGCAGACCCTAGAAATGGAAAAACCATAGCCCTCTACAATTACCTCACAGTATAGAAAAGAAAGTATTTAGAAAAATTCAGATAATTAAGACACACTTACTAAAGAGACACCAGCTGGCATTTGAGATTCCATCCATGAACCATCGACAGGAAGGTGACTCGAGGGGAGAAAGACATGAGGGAGGTAGGGGACGAAGCGATGTCGTCCATCTGGATCGTCTGTATCCACAAATTTCGCACCTGCATACATTGACAGAACCTAATTCTCTATCAGAGAGCATTTCATAGTTCAATTTGCATTTTCCTCTTTTTGCAAAGGCTCTCACCTAATGAAGTCATACAATGTCCCATTGCAACATCCTCACCATGATGCTCTTCCAATTGATGACAGTCACCTGATGGGCCAAGCCCCTTTTTCACCAAGAGATCCAGAGCAGCCTTGTTTAAAATATATCCATTTCCACCACTGAAGAATCCCTTTGGGAGGTCTTTCTTCAGAGACTCATAATTAGGAAGAGGAAACAAATGGAGCCCCATGTACAAAGGCTCTTCCAAACCCATCAGATCCTTGGCCATAATAAAATGCTTCAAGTTCTCCATGACAATGTAAGTATCATCATCTGCCTTCACAAAAAAGTCTGCCATATCCAAATACTTGCTATGTACCATCTTGAATCCATGGGAGACCTTCCACCACAGTCGATCGTAATTCTCATCTTCCGAGGGGGTGATGATTACCTCACGAAGCAAAGGGTCTCTCTTTGATGTCAAGAACACAATCCAGTTGCAATGTCGACCCCAAGTTGCCATGACGTGCACAGCTCGTAGCATGTGATACTTGGGGGTTGTGACAACCATACAGGCAACCTTTGGCTCTTTGATATGTGCAGGTGGAATGGATGCATTTCCAAAGGGGAAGAGGAGACTCTCTGCTGCCAGTGTTCTGCAAAAAAAATGTAAAACTCAATCAGAAACTAATCAGGTTTATACAGTTCTTATAACTAGTAGATCTATGAATACATTGTGTATTTTTCCTTCTTCTGGACCATTAGCTGTGCCTGGCACTATGATGAAATTGGTAGACTTGCTAAAATGCAGAATTTAGCTATGTGTTCACAAGAGTCATACAATATTTATACTAAAATGAGCTTTCTCCTGCACTGACACCATGTTACTAAATTACAGACTGCGTAACAGCATGGGTAGTACGTATGGGTATGCTATTATGCAGTCTGTAATTTAATAAAATGGTGTCCCTGCAAGAGAAGACACATTTTACTATAAACATTGTATGATTCTTTTGTGGACATCCCATATATCTGGAAAAAGAGAAATGGATGAAGCCACACTGAAATTGGGGCTTAAATTTTTTAACTTAAAAAAATGATTGTAGACCAGTACTGGTATTTTCAAAGGAATGGTTTAACATTTTTTATTTTCATAATAAAACTGTGATTTTCATAGGAGTGCAGAGGAGAGTAATTGTAAAGTTAAGCCAGGGAAAACAGTAAAAGCTCGTGCCTATTGTGAGCATAGGCATAGTTAACAGGGGGAGGGGGGGGGGGGCTGAAGCCACTCCAACTGGTCTAAAAGCATCCAACATCTTACCCCCTCCCTTCCCAGAAAGTTTCAGGCCATATTGAAGAGGAAGTCAGGGAAATTCTACCTTCTTGGCATAATTTTGGCTATGCTAGGCTGCATTCCCACCTGTAAAACTGTTTGCTAGATATAGACGCTCCATGATGAGATGTTTCGTCTCCAGATTCAGAGTTTGGTAGACCCCAAGTTCGGTCGTTCCATAAACCAACATTGACCATTGACAGCAGAAGGGCGCCCAGAACCAAAGAAACACCCATCAATAATGTCGTTTTCAGGCATTTTGTGCTGCAAGGATAGCACAACCACAAGGAAAATAACTGAGACATCAAAGACTAATGCAGAAACTATCACAGATTAATAGCTGCCTTCAGCCGCCCCTAGCAGCCGATGGGATGCGGGCACCAGGGCGACATGTGTCTCACACAGATGTTCATTTCCCTCCATCTAATCACCCATTTTGAACTCCTTCGTTCGGTCCTCATAGCCGTAAGGGAGACATTTAAACTTTACTTCAACAGTTTAAAAACACCTTACCATTATGCGGGAATTGTAATCATCCATGAAATGAAAATGTGGAATGACTAACGACGAGAACTGGCAAGTTTGTAGCATCACTGTAGCGGGACGTCATGGAATATTCGTAATGGCCACCCCTGTGGTTTTTCTCTCTGGTGAAACTGCTGTGGTGTTATAAGAAAATGCTGCTTTGAGCAAAAGACTGAGAGCCCTGGGAACGATGGAGAACGAACAGAAGGATAGCAAAGAAACTAAAATCATCTACCATATCGATGATGAACCGACGCCTTACTTGGTGAAGCTCCCTATCCCACCTGACCGAGTCACTCTCGCGGATTTCAAGAACGTTTTGAACCGTCCGAATTTCAAGTTTTTCTTCAAATCTGTGGATGATGACTTTGGGTAAGGAAGAAAAATATTTAACAAATAAAGATTATTAGAAAACTGTGGAATTGGAATAGGCTAAACGTTAGATAGGTTAAGTTTTACGTGGATATAGTGGAAACTTTGACGTTAGACCTTGCGGCCATGAAGCAAGCTGACCGTTTTCAAACCTAACTGACCCGTGTTTTCTGGAAGTGGACCACTTCTCTCCTTCTTACAACAAAATGGGAAGAAATAAACTTACTTGGTCTTGAAAACTTGGAGGGAAAAAGTAAGGCTTTCCTCGAAAGTGAGAGTTATCGGTCACCTCAAAGAGGGAACATTTGGAGGACCTACATGGGAGTTCGGGCCTGCACGGCAGACCTCTAGTCATTGCAATCAAAGCACTGTTTATGAATATTTCTGGCATGCATAATTGAAGGACTTATACCCTGTCCATATTCTGAATTTTAAAACTTTGGTGATGTGGCTTGAACTTAGTTGTTGAATCTTAGAATTATACCTTTGTAATATGTGATACTATCAGCTATGGTCAAAGCTCTGTAATTAAACTCCCATTTTGTGGAATTGTTTATTAGCCCTTTGAGTGGGAAGTTTTCTTTGTGTGTTTAGGAAAGAAAAAATTCAGAGGTCCTTCAGCGATAAATTTCCTATATGTATTTGTTTGTAATGTGATAGGTAATTGTAGATTCTAGTACATGAGAGGCAAAAAGTGTAGTGAACTCAAAAAGGGTAATTTACACTAAATATGAAACTGAATTTTCATTAAAATTTTGAAAATGTATATGTACAGGCTTACTAATCAAAGGGTTAAAGTCAGTTATGAGTTTGAATTTTAATCACCAGAAATTCAGCTCCACTTCATATCCTGATGTATCTTGGATATTTGTAAAATTGCTTCTGACTTAGACTTTAATTGCATTAATATTTTGATTTTGGGGTTATTACACCAGTTTTGCACATGAAAGGATGAAATCATCTTGAATTTCACTCTATCTGAAGTTTGTGTTAAGAAATTCATTTGTTCTAGCCCAAAATGTGCTTAAATTAAGCTTTACAGTATTTGAATTGAAAGTACATTAAAAGCAATCTCTCAGTCAATAGAAGACTGCCTTTGTAATGAAGGCTTGGTAATGTTAAATACAATTATGAAGTTCCTCAAGAAGAAGCAGAGGAGGGGGGAGAACTCCACTGCTGCAACTTCCTAATAAGATTTTCCATCTCTTTCTACTATTTTATTCATTTGCTTCATACTACTATTCCTATTATATTATTTAAGAGATAGACTTTTCAGAGAGGAATTTTCTCTGCTTTTGTGACTGATGGAAGTACTATATCTTACAATTCTGAAATCTTGTTGGGAGTCCTATTTCTTTTTACCTATTCAGTACCAAAACCAGAAGTAGATCAGTTGCATACCAGAATAAAACCAAAACTTGCATGATTTTTCAAATGGAAAGCCAAAATGAAACCAAATCTATTTTCATAAAGTATCTATATATTTTGCTCCTTTGCAGTCTAAAATCTTCATCAATTTTACTTATTTATAGAAGTTTTCATTTAATAATTAAGTTTTCTCGGCATTCTTGTCGTTGGTGGTCTACATAAGGCCAGTGGTCTACACCCTATATTTATTGATGTTTGTCCAGTCTTTATTACAAGCAATACAAGCAATACCCATAACCCTTCGAGATAGTGAGATACAATGAGCATGTC